CTATTTTCAACCCCTCTGCCATGGACCTTCCACTAGACCAGGTTGCTCAAAACCCTGGAACTTGATTTTTCTTTCTTGCCAGGCTGCAGAACTGTGTGTCTGTCAGAACAGCTCTGGTAACACATTTTATCAACAGCCTTTGTCTGTTCAACAGGGAAATGTGGTGAATGACTCGTAATGAGGTTCTGTTGGTGTCTGACCAGTTTGAGAATCCACTGACTTTAACCTGATGGAGGTTTAGTGGGACTTTCCCAGAACACCTCTCCTAGGATCTGTCCTTCCTACTTGTGGACTTGTAGGAAAGGCTTGTAGGCAGGCACAAACCTCTTCCACCAAAGAATGTGACATTTCTTTATTTCTGCCTCTCATGGGCCAAATTATAACAGAAAAAACATCCATAAAGGCTTCCTGAGATGTGGAAGCAGAATAGAAAGAGAGATTTCAGGCACATTTGACTTTCTCAGAGAAAAGTTTCCACTGCGTTTATCCAAAGAGGTCAATTCAAATCTCATCCAAACCCTGCTGAGCAGCTCTGCTGACAGGCACTGAAATTACCATAGGAAAACACAGGACCAGAAGGTCCTCTTGGGTCAACATATCAAGCCATGTGGGGATTTCTACAGCTGATTTTGCCTCCTAGGAAGTCAGGGACAGGAATAGGTAGTTTTAGGGGCTATTTAGTCCAATAAATTTAGATTTTTTGGGTGGTAAGATATTCTATGACTTCACAGACTCCATTAGACAGATCTGACTATAAAGGCACCTCCATGTAGTTATTTCAGATGTAGATGTTCACAGTGACTGATACATATACTCTCTAACATTTTCTGTTGGTAAGCTACTGGATCATAATATAAATGTTTAAACAGGGCTGAGTGCATGACCTTACACTTTGTATTTCATAATTCCATGCATCATGCATTAATTCAATAATGGTTATGCAATCCTGCCTACAGGATAGTGTGATACCCTAGAAACTGGTGGTGCTTTCTACCTTTGTGTTCTCAGAAAATGTCATCAATATTTTCCTGAGGGAATAAAAAACAGGCTAGGACTGATCCTAAAGGAGGAATTCCATTCTTATACTTTGCTTTTAGGGAAAATTCTTAAGGTACCACTTTCCTGGTTACAGACCCTACAAGTTTACATGCTTGTGACTCCAGTAATGCAAGATCCACCAGGGAAATGCAGCAGTGATTTGCCAGCTTGTGGTGGATTGGGGAATAGGGGTGGATGGTGGATGCCATGGAAGCACTGGGATGTGTGGATGGGACAGAGGTGAGAAAACAGCAGCCCAGAGCTCAGCCCCGAGGGCCAGTTAATGCACTGCAGCTCTGTGGATTTTACACTCAGAGATGCTTTTTGGGTTGTACACAGCCCAGCTGGAGCAGGAGCAGAGTCTGTGAGTGCATTTCTGTGCCACATCAGGCTGTCCTTCCCTTGGTGGCACTTCAGAGATGCTGGCAGGAACCACATTTCATCCTGGTGGCCACCAGAGGGTAAGAGTGGCTTGGCCAGCGTACATCATGCACACCCAGTGAGGTTGGGAGGTTGTTCTGCCTGTGACACTGTTCTGTGTCCAGTTCTGGCCCCTCAGATCAAGAAGGATGTTGAGATGCTGGAACACGTCCAGAGGAGGCAATGAGGCTGGTGAGGGGCTGGGAACACAAACCCTGTGAGGAACCACTGAGGGAGCTGGGGTTGTTTATCTTGGAGAAAAGGAGACTCAGAGATGACCTTATCACTCTCCACAGCTCCCTGAAAGGAAGTTGCAGTCAGGTGGGGGTCAGTCTCTTTCACCAGACAGCAACTGTGAGAACGAGAGGACAAGGTCTTAAGCTGTGCCAAGAGAAATTTAGGTTGGATGTTAAGAAAAAGTTCTTTATGGAAAGAATTATAAAATACTGGAATGGTCTGCCTGGGGAGCTGATGGAGACACCATCCATGCCTGGATGTGTTTAAAAAAAGATTGGATGTGGCACTCGGTGCCATGGTTCAGATGAGGTATTAGAGCATGGGTTGGACTCGATGATCTTGAAGATCTCTTCCAAGCTAGTAATTCTGTGATTCTGTGTGATTCTGTGATGGAAGTGTCACTTTTATTCATGCACATTCTTAGAACCCAGCACAGACAACTGTACCCTGAGAAGTGTCACATTGACTCTCAGACCAGCTGACCCACCAGAGCAGGGGGCACCAGGACCTGCCTGGTGACCCTAACTCTCCTACATCATCATAATCGTTCCTGTCTTGGTGATTTTCCTTGTTCTCCTCAGTAACAAAAATATACATTAAAAATATATTAAGCCCTTTTGAAAAATTAACTAAAAGCATAATTATTCACTTGGCTATTTCAGAAGGTCTCTCTTACAAATGAGGAAGAAATTCTTATGATCTGTCAGGTTAGGCTTTACCTCCTAAAGATGCCTCAATTACTCTAAAACACCACCTGGCAATAGCAGCACAGCTTTATTGTGCAAGAGGCAGTTACACAGCACATAGTTTTCCAGCTATATTGTAAAGTTTAGTTCCTTGAAGATGATTCACTCCTCAGCTGACCAGCCTTAAATATAGTTTTGTGTGGCATTGCACACAAATTGTCCAAGACATTTTCAGGATATATGAATACAACCCAAAGACTAAGGATATACTAAAATTCCTTTCAACAACTGGACTGCTCTATAACACGATGTTGCCCAGGGCACTTACTAAATTTCCTGGCTTTTCTTCCACCATTCCTTTGAATTTATGTTAGTGAGGCTAGATAAGTCCTGCAAAGTGAATCACTGAACATACCACAGGATTGCAGCGGATGTAACAATTTCAACACTAGTTTACAGACTTTACAGGAGTTCAAGAGCAAGTTTTCTCCATTATCCTCAGCTTTGTAGTTGGGAAAGTGACCACAGACATCACCATAAGGCAGATGTGACAGATAAAAGTATTTCATTTAGATGCATGTATAGAAATGCTACACCAAGATTTTCTCCATGCCTCCAGATACTGTGGAAACATTTAGACTTTAATAAGTTACAACCTCAGGATAATATTCTTTATCAGAACCGACTCTTGAAACTCAGGGGAGAAAAAAGGGTCTCAGCAAGTTAAAAGAGAGATTTTGCTGGCACAGATGGCAATGAAGTTACAGGTGAAAGTTTTTGCACAGGAGTATTTTTATTTGAAAGGGCTCATGGTACTTTTTAGCTACCAGAACTTTTGGGTCTGATGATTTATGCAAGTAAGTGAGTTGGTGAATTAAATCCACTCTTATGGAAGAAAGCAACATTTTTTGCTGATGCCAGAGGTGCAGGATGACCTCCTTTCTACCTTCTAATCAACATCATGACGTTTCCATGTTGGTACTGGATGAGTCTCATGATTCAGAATCTGTTGTTCTTTTCACCACCTTCATGACCTATAAATAATTTCCTCTTTCTTTTCCTATGAGTGACCCAAACACAAGAATCATTCCTCTTTATCAGTCTTTGCCACATCCTTACAGAATTGTTGGCTGAAAAGAGGAAAGCTAGTAATTTTTTCTTTCAGCTGACCAATAACTTCAGCTTATCCATGCTGACAGTTTTTCAATATCTGGTTTTACATCTGGGACAGTTTTTTTGAATACTGAAGTTTGAATACTTAGATAATGTTAATGCAGTCTCTGCTGAGCCAGATTTCATATTTAACAGAACTTATGTACACTGATGAGTGTTAATAACTAAGGGTATCAGATGTTGCTAATTCACATCTATTAATAATCCATGAATATTTCAAATGTTAACATTTTCCCCAGAATTTAACACATATTACTTCCAGCTTTCATCATCATACAGGGAACACATTGCTTAGTGGCAGGGGTAGATTAACTTTCCAGATCTCAGGCTAAAATCTCCTAAATGATATAATAAATAATGTTTTTTTTTCCTAAAGAAAGCAATATTTTGCCCCAACTCTTCTAATCAGATTTAATTCTAAGGAAAATTTATAGAAATGTTAAGCTGTAGAAAAAAAGTAAATATTTTTCCACTGTCTGAGTAATCATATTTTAATCTTTTGACTTTTGTTAAAAAAAAATCCCTAAAAAATATTCCTTGCTCTTGCAATCAACATTTTCAGTATGAAAATAACTGTAAAAATTTAAATTAATGTAAACAAAGCAACACACTTTCAAGAACTTTTCTACCCCAGCAGCTGAGAACCAAAACATTGGGTACTTAAAAACAAAACAACCACTAAAAGCAATCAGTAGCAAAACCCAACATTTTTTTTTTTACAGCAGCATCTACTATTAAACAACTCCCTACATAAACAGTAAGGCCATTAGAGCCACAATGTCAAAGATGCTCTCTAAGCTGAACAGGCAAAACATTTCCACAATGACTGAAAGCCAGCAAAGCGCTCCTTAAGATGTCAACAGGGAAATATAATTCAGTCTTAATAGGTTCAGAGCTTATGTAAGCCATGTTTATGGGATAGTCTATTAAAAAAACAGCAAGAGAGCCAGTGACATTACTGTAAACAAAACCTGCAGCCTCATAAAGCATGCAGGCTAAAGACGTTCAAAACTCCGCTCAAAGACACTGTGCTGTGGTAAGGTTGGTGTGTTCTTGGCCAGAAGTGAAAGGAAATACAAATATGTCCCAAAACAGGGATAGTTGAGGTGATACTCACACCTGTACACCAGAAAAGAGATCAGGAATGCCTTCAGACCCATGAATGGCCTAAGAAATAAAATCATTGTGATCAACCCATGTGCCTTTTGGTCTAGTAAAACATCTGCTCTGAAGAAACCCAGCAAGTCCTCATTCCCAGCTAGAAATGCAATTTTGTATTTGTATTTGGGACAGGAGCAAATTTCTCCTGGTGACAACTCAGTTCACTGAATTAAAATTGTGGAGCAATGTGAGATTTACCATTTCTGGATTAAAAAATGGTACATTTGCACATGCATACCAAGAAAGAAAGAAAAAAAGAAGCCCAAAAACATCTTGAGAACTCACCACCAGGTTTCCTATCACCATGACCAACAAGAAGACCAGAAGGCACAGTGGCTGCCCAGCTACTTCCATACAGTCCCACATGGTCTCGATCCACTCTCCACACAAAATTCGGAAGATGATGAGGAAGGAGTGGAAGAAGTCGTTCATGTGCCACCGTGGCAGATTGCCAGTCGTGCTTATCTTCTTCACATTGTCCAAGTAGCTTTTCCCAAAAAGCTGCATTCCCACCACGGCAAAAATAAAGACGATGATGGCCAGCACGAGGGTGAGGTTACCGAGGGCACCCACTGAGTTACCAATGATTTTAATGAGTGTATTTAAGGTCGGCCAGGACTTTGCCAACTTGAAGACTCGCAGCTGTGAACAGAACATAAACAACAGTGTCAGCTCACAGAAGCATCAGCCATTTCAGCCAATGAATTATTAAAGTTAGTAAAACGTGAAAGATGTTAAATGCCACAGTGTGTGTGGTACAAGGTGATTTTAGCCATACTTCCTGTTAACCTCATTACTTCTATTAATAAAACATCAATTGGGCTTCTCAGATGAGAATTAAGTTTTCCTGAGCTATGCTCTGCTTGGTTAGATAGACATGGTTTTAATGGCACATTCCCCCACTGGTGGGGAAAGGATGGAAGGATGAAAACTATTTCTTAGTATTTTCTTTTGTGTTGCTTTTCCTCTGCAAAATAAAGAGCCTGGCAGGCATTTGGAGGGAGGGGTTTCAGGTTTGGTCCCACAGTGAGAGAAGGAATTCCTCTGTGCTTCAGAGCAAGCCTCAGTCAGATGTTATTAGCTGTTAGCTCCCAGGGTGAAAATCACCTCTGTGCCAAGGTTCATGCAGTCTGTGCACAACCCACGGCCCACTTCAGACCTATTTTAAGGATGTAAATGGTGCCTAGCCCTTGTGCTGTGTTTTCAGCTGAAAGTTTAAATTAAGCCCTATTGAAGCAGGATTGCTCCAAAAACTGAAGGGAGACACTTATGGAAAACGTACGTTTTTGGGCAATGCAGAGAATTTTGGGAGGGAGAAAAAAAAAAAAATCTTTTCTTTTGGTAAGTATAATCACAAGGGCTTATTTTCCTGATCTTTAAAATTTTGAAGCCATATCATGGCCAGAATAATTAACATGGACATCCTGGTACATGAAGTGCAACACAAATGTCAAGCTGGCAAGGAAAGTACTTTTCTGTTCCAGCATGTTGCCAGTCTCTCATTAACAGAACACCACTGTCCCCTGCTTAACAAAGGAGCTGACAGCTAAGGAGTTCCTGTGAAAGACAGATGCTAGTTGTGCTGATCAGCTCTAGAAAAAAAAAAATCTCTCTCTGAATAATTCAAAGACATTTTCTTTTGACAACATCTAAAAGAACAGTGGCATGTTTATAACATAATTTAGGAATAACAGCTCCTAAAACAACAAGTTATCAGCTCTTGCATTTCTTGGGCTATCAATTTTCTACTGTCTGTGTTAACAGGTGTACAGGTATAAAATGGCAGATCTTTATTACAAATTGGAATTAAAATATTTTAAGTGTGCTACAAGTACCTGGCACAGCTAGAAGGAATCAAATTATGTTCTCATTTACCCTGATGTAAATCTGGAACAATTCCATTTATCCCACAGTAATTAGTGTCACATACTGTTCATCAGTTTGCAGCAATTATAGGCAGATGCATTTTTGAGAAAATATGTTGCATTCATGTGAGAGTTTATATATAATGAAAATAAAAAGATAGTTAAGAACAGAATAAGACAATTACCAGTCGAAAGGAGCGTAAAACAGACAGGTTTCCCATGCTGGACAAACCCAGTTCCATCAGGCTTAGAATAACAATTATGCTGTCAAAAATATTCCAGCCCTGTTGGAAATAGTAGTAGGGGTCGAGGGCAATTACTTTGAAGATCATTTCTGCTGTGAAAATCCCAGTGAAGACCTGCAGAAGGAAAATATGAAGTCAAACTAACCTTTTAAGCACAACTCCTTGCTTGTGGAGCTTCCACTCACACAGGTGAACCCAGCAGAAAGCCAGACACATTCTACAAAGAAATACTTGGGTTTTTTTTGTGGCTGACTCCTTTATCACTATTACAATTTTGTCTAGTCTTTTCACAATAATATCTGATACTGCTGTAAACTCATAATGACATCTGACTTCAGGATCTGGATTGGAACATACATTTCCATCTCCTTCCATCATCTGAATAATCACAATAGTAAAAAAAACAAACAAAAAAAAAAGGTATAAAGGTGCATTTTATAAAGGTTAAATCTATTCATTTCAGTGGAGAAAGCTTTGTGAATGGAGAGTGAGTGTTAAGGGCTATTTGGGTTCAGTGTATATGATGTATTATCCCTTTTTATTATGTTCTTATTATCAATAGAAGGGCAATGCACGCCTCCAGTTATTCTGAGATTATTGCTGGCAGCAAAGACGATTAGAAACTCTAAATTGAGTCTTGTTATTTTGTTTTGGTTTGGTTTTTTTTTTTTTTTACAAATAGTCACAGCAATTTTCTTCTCATTGCATCTTGGGAGCACATTGGTTATTTATGACCCAGTTCAAATGTCATATGGTGGAGCTTCTAATTGGAACATTTTTCTTTAAAACAACATATAAATATTACCTATGAGGCAGAGGGAGCAGGGAAAGGAAGGCTGCTGACAGCAAATTTACTTTTAATAGATTCCTGTAAAGCATCCCATAGAATCAGATTTTGTCCTTTTGTATGCTCTGCTTAAGTAATGTTTTAAATGCATAGTGCAATTCTACAATCAACTTTAAATGACAAAATGTGGCCACCAAGTTTGTCATATACTGTTTTACAGTATATGTTTTTTCATATCTTAGTACAAGCTGTCCAGAGCTTTGTGTTTCTGGAAAATTCTGGAACTTCTGAAATAGAAATAGATACATTTGCAGAAATGAATAATATCTGTAAAATTAAAATACATGGTTTTCTATGAAACAATTAACATTAAAGCACTTAGTTGGTCAAAATAGAAGGGGAAATCCAGAGGTTATGCACTAATGTACAGTCAAGGAGAAACGTTTTCCTTCCAAGAAGTTGAATATTTGCAACATTAGCCCAGCAAAACTGATCAACTCTGAGCAACAGAGATGAGACACCCACTAAGACATGAAAGGGAAAGAGTAAAATCATACAATTATGATATTAAAGAATAAAAATAAACAGTTATAGCCTGAATTAGAGGAGTGTTGGCTTTTCTCTGTAATGCTTCAAGAATGAATTAATCCAAGTGGAATTTTACATAATTCCTTATGGAAAATACTTTCCCCTCAGGAAAATGTTATCTTGGATTGCCTCAATACCTTGCGACAGAGCAACTTTCCATCACCACCTCATACCAAGAGCACAACCACCAACCTGTCTCATATTTCTAATTAGCAAAGAACTTCTGAGTCACAGGGGTTAGAGATACCAAAGATTCCCACCATAATGCTTGAATTTTTCCTGGGACAGAGAGCAAGGCAAAACCGGATGTCTGCGAAATTTTATCCAGGGGACTGCCTTAAAAAGCTACGAGACCACGCTGCACACATTATGCAACCCTCTTGCTGAGAAAATGACTCAGGAGGATCACTTTCTTTGCCTGAATCATTTTAATCAATAGCCTTCTGAGAAGGAAATGTCACAGCAAGACAGCAAAATGTCTGAGCCTTGCTGAAGGCATCAGGAGTCGTGTGTGTGTGTTCCAGCCACAAATTCCACACGGCACCTGGTTCACTGCACCCGCACAAGGGGCTGGGTGTTTCTTGTGATAAAGGCTGGAAAGAAAACAAGTGGCTTAACATCCCACTGGTGCTAAATATGACACTGCTGATGTGGAGCACTTTGTCTTTAATAAAAAAAAAACACCAAACCTTTTACCTTTGGTTTTAGGCGTTTAAGCTTTAATGTCGCATAATGGTACCTGAGCTTCTAAAGGAAAACAGAATTTGAGGGAGTCCTGCTCTCTCCACTCATTTCTTTAAGTGGTGGCACTGCACGGGCAGATGAGCTCTGTACACGTGCCTGGCTGGCCTTCTGATCACATTTGAAAATGTTCATTTCTGTAAGGGGTGAGCTGAAAGGGCCTGAAAGTAGCAGCCACTGAATGAAGTAGATGGACAATCACAGCAGGAGAGCCCCAATGACTGGCAGATCCAGAGAAAGAAAATCTATATTCCATTTTCATTCTTTCTTTTCTCTCAGAAACGTTTGCTCTGAGTGAAAAAAAAAAAAAATGCCAAAGACCTGCCCTCTTTAATATTTCCCCTGTTTAATGCTAGCATAATCACTCAAAGAGGGTTAGATATAATGGGAAGATGGCCAGCCAGCCAGAGTGGGGGCAGAGGGGGGGCTGGCAGTCTGCAGCTTAGGGGATGCAGTCACCTGGCAGCCTGCCCTGGAGCTGGGACTCCCTTCCCTTTCACAGGGAATTGCAAAAAATGCCAATTTTCATTACAAATGACTTTGCAAAATCTTCCACAAAATGGAGTTACCTTTCTCTGACCTGCTCTGCTCACAATTAATCCAGTTATGCCAGGGTTTAGTAAAGCTGGTGAGGGTGAGCTGGGACAGTCTGGGCTCTCACAGACCCCAGCTGGGATCTCAGGAAAAGGGGAGCCCCGAGCCATTAGCCTGCTACAAAAAATACAGGCAGGCTGTTTTGCTTACTTTACACTTTAGCACAAAGTAGAGAAATAGCTCTAGGCAGTGCTAAGAAACTCACAGTGAGATTTTCCTTCTCTTTTTTTGGAAAAATTTTGCAAAATTTGCTTTGTAAAATTTCTCCCTCTGGGAAAAAAAAAAAAAATAGAAAAGAAAGTGTCTCTCTGCAAAATTTCTCTGTCTGCAGAATTCCTGTCTCTTCTGATTGTCTAATTTCCTGATGGCACCTGGCACAGCCCTGCTCAGCCCTGGCAGTGCTGGCAGGAGGGATGCCAAGGGCTAAAGTTTCATTGCCTGTGGTCTGCAAAGGGGGAAGCTGATCTGCCAAAAGCAGAGTGAGGAGCAGACACCTTGGCTATCCCAAGAGCCAGAGAGGGAAGTGGAAGCTTTGCCATCTGCTTTGATGAGTGTAAGGGAATTTTTTCGGGTCATCTTAGAAGGCCACAAATTGTTGAGCAACAAGAAGGAATGCTGGGTGCAAAGTGAAGCTGGATAAAGTCCTGTAAGATGATTTCCAAGCTATCCTTATCTACTGCTTTCTGCAGAGGGCAAGAACATGGGTTTGGAGCAAGAGAGACCCAAACAGATTTCTGCTTAGGACACCAACAGAGGGAGATTTGCCAAGACACCTCAGCTGAAAAGCTGGAGACAGGTCCCATAGCCTAGGGGAATAACCTCAACCTGCCCACAGAAACACAGAACAAGAAATAACAAGGACCACGGTAAAGAAATAAATGTCTATGTGTTATATTCCATGTCCTAGGACTGATACAAAATGCCTGGTTATTACTATTACCTACCCAAACCTACCACATGGGAGATTTCTCACTAAAGGCAGGTCTCACATCTGCAGTGTCTCTGTGTGCTCCCTCTGTGGTCAATGGCTACTACAGTCACAGCCCTGCAGGCCACTGCTCACCTTATCCAAAAGCAAATGTCGCTACATCATCACATTAATGGGGCTTGAAACTGTCCATTAATTTCCATTGACTCTAAAAAGAGACAAACTGGCACAGACAGACTCCTACGCTGTAAATACCCAAAGTTAGGTGACATGAATCCAGCTTTGAGGTACTGCAGCCTTTGTTTTTACAGAAATAAAGGGCTTTTTAAATCTCTGCTGTGAGCTCCCCAGATGCAAACTTAGCAGCATCCACCTTCCATACTCTCCAGATCACTTATTTTCCTGTAGGTTGTCCGTGTTGCTACCACCACATTATAGGGGCAATCAATCCCACCACAGCTAGATGGCCTGTGCCTTTTCTAATTCAGACTCTTCTACAATTAAAAGGATTCTAAGCATTAGGTTTTAAAGCAGTAACACACGGTAACTTTTAAACATAACTCAGAGAAAGATGACTAAAGAAAATATTCCATTTTTTGTTAATCGCAGAATTTTAGCAGCCCCTGAGTCACAAATTGTATCACATTGCCCTTGGAAAGGCTTTTCTGCTGTCCCTGCAGCTTGTCTGCAGACTTTCCCTCTGCTTTTCTTTGGAGAAGCGTGGTCTCTGCTTGCTTTGCATCTCTCCACCCATCTGCTCTGGCTTGCACATTAAGTTTCCCCTCAAAGCATGGGCTGTGTTTTGCTCCATGTCCCCTCTGCCACGGGGTTTTCATAGAACCCAGCACATGTAGAAAGAAGATGCACTACAGGCACCTTCCAGCATAGATATCAACCCATGATCAAACACAACTCCATTTCCCTCCAAGATCTTGCCTTGCTTTTTTTCTTGAGGTTTCTTTTTTAACATAAAAGTCACTATTAGTCACCAAGAACTTATGGGTGCTTTACCAGAAATCCTGAATAAAGCTCATTAACCTTTCTCTTATTTCTTTAAGCAGATATCTATCAGGAACAGCCCAAAACCATGTTTTTAATGGTTACTAATAACATAGGATATGTTAGCTTGATAAAAATAGACTTGTTTAGAATAGATTGTTCTTCATTCAGCTCTCTTCAGAAAGAGATGGCTGCGTGTACTTGCTTGACAAAGGCAAAGCAATGCTGGCAGTGTATCAAAATGGGACTTTCCCAAGCCACAGCCTGTGGACCTGATTTCTCTGAGCCTGAGAGAATTACAGCCTGTCAGTGGCTGATCTGTTCCCAAGAGAAAGTCTCTTAGGAGCATCTCTATAAAGGATTTCACTTTCTCAAAACAGTTCTGTACAGCTGTGGATAGTGTGTTTTTCTCTTGTCCCACCAATGGGACAAGAGGTGGTGTTCCCTTTACCAATCATGTTAAACCTGTAGTGTAATACCCTATAAAAGGCTGAAAAGTTCAGGGAATAAAAGCCTTTCCTAGCAACTCATTCTAGTATGCTACATAAAACCCACAGTTCCACATCGTGTCCAACAGTGACAACAGCCAAAACTTTAAAAAGCAGGAAATTCACCCCTCAGGTGGCACTTCAGGTTCACACTGACTTACCAAATTGCCTATGTACAGCATATGCTCAAACTCCTTCGTCATCTTGTAATGCTCCAAGGCCATGAAGAGCGTGTTCAGCACAATGCAGAGGGTGATGGTGAGGTCAGTAAATGGGTCCATTACCACAAATTTGACAAATTTCTTGATTAAAAGCCAAAGTGGGCAGCAATCCCAAATGAGGAATTTAACAGCAAAGTGGTTCCAGCAGGGAGGACATTTCTGGTGTGATTCCTCAAGCTCTAAGTCACAAGCAGCAAAGTCACAGTCAATTCACACTGAGTTATATGACAAGAGAACACTTAAAATTACTCATAACACAGAGGAAGGCCCACAAATTACCCCAAACTTTTTTCAAAGATAGAAATATTCCTGTCCTAACAGGTTGGCAAATTACACACTTTGGGGTTTTAGCCAGTTGACCTGCACTTAGCAGACGGTGACCTGCTCTGAAAGTAAAAACCTTTTAAAAGTGTCATAGACAAAAAGTGAGAATCACACTAAATATGTGAAGTCTAGTATTATATATAGGCTTGGATTCCTACTCTATTTTATGTTTTGCCAAGTTCAAATGGATAAGAATGCACTATCTTCATTGAATTTAGATTGGAATTATATTTTTCATTTCCCGGTCGCATTTTCAAAGTATCTTAAGTAATAACTTTTAAAGCAGATAAGAGGTGAAAGAGCTTAAATCCAATATTAAAAGCTGACTTAAGTACTTGAGAACCAGAGTATCACTGGTTGTCAACAGAGTTTCTGTCCTTGATGTGCAATCCAAAATATCAGATTTTTCTGAAAGGCCCACAGACAAAATCAGGGAGCACATAAGCCAGTTTCAAAATGCTGCTAAAACTCCAATGTGCTTTTTAAAGGTGCTCTTAAAATATTGCCTGTAATACCACTTTTACATGCTCATTTTACCTATGCACAAAAGAACTGAAATAGCTTCATAAGTATAATTTGTGTTAAATGGTGAAAAAAAGAAAAGCCAAAAAAGACAGTTAATGGCTAAATGACAATGATCAGCAGAATTGCTTAATGCCTTCCTTTTTCTGATTCCTTTATGGGCATGGAATGCTGTATTATGGTTTTAGTCTATATAATTAGAAGCTGCACTGATAACAGGAAAACTTCAGCCAAGGCTGTTATTTAAATCAGTTCATAAACAGCCTCCTCTCCCCAGGCAGGAAGCATTTGGGACAAGGGGAAATGGCCCCAGGCTGTGCCAGGGCAGCTTCAGATTGGATATTTGGAAAAAAAATCTCTCCCTGAAAGAGTGATTTAGCACAGATGTAGTCACCATCCCTGGAAGTGTTCAAAAATCTGAGTGGACATGGCACTTTGCAATACGGCTTGGTGGGCACAGGGGTATTCAGTCAAAGGTTGGACTTGTTGATCTTGGAGAATTTTTCCTCAGATTCCTGGATTCTTTATCCACTGTTCTGCAGAGGAAGACAGAACTGTGGTATTAGGTGTCTTCCATCAAGCTTTCAAATTACCATATAGTGTCCTACCTGCACTGGATTTGCACACACATCTACACTGCTCTGAGATCTTCAGGAAATCAAATTGCTCTGAAGAAATTACTTTCCTGCCCCCAAAGAGAGGGTTTACAGGTAAATTCTAAAATTATTTGAGAACCATAGACTTCAAAGCAAAAGCCTTTTTTTTTTTTTTTGAAACTTGCCTCTGAAGCAATAGAGGGTTTAGGGCAGTCAATTCCTCATGGATCTAATTTTCCAGGTAAATCTAGAACACATAGATCTATATCCTTATTCTTCACAACATAATCCCCTTTAAGTCTAAGTTTCTGCTAAAAGGCTTTTTTTCACCTATTTCAGCCTCAGCCAAGTGTTATTTCTCTGTTCTTTTGCCAGCTTTTATGCTCCTGGACCTTTTGGGTCATCTGGTTCTGCTTGTTGATCCAGCTGAAAACCAATCATATAAAGTGCAGGAACACAGCAAGGGAAGGAGGTGGGTGTGACTATCCTCCTCTGGCAGTGATGTGGCACTAAAATGATTTAAATCAATTAAGAATCCACATCCCAGTAAATATGATCTTTGGAAAACACAAGATACCTAATTTTATTTATTTATTTTAATATCTGCAAAATTAAAAATAAAATTAGCCTCTGGTTTTTCCACTACTGTTAAAAAAATTATCTGAAAAATCCAACCAGCATTGTGTTGGAGATGTTTTTCCTCTTATTTTTAAATTTAAAAAGAAATAAGTCCTTTCTTGTCTGCAAAGCTTTGTAATGTCTGGAAAAAACAGAGAGTTGTTGACTACCCAAGAGCGGAGAGCAGAAACCAAATAAGTAAAGGTGAAGGGATTTCTGGTCTCACTGCTTCAGAGTTTGGCACAAATCTTACAGCATGAATATGATTAAATCCTGTGGTATATTTTATTCTGATCTGACATTTCTTGTTAACAAGTATTCAATTTCGGTGACTAATCAAAGCTGAGGAATTAGGAAGCCTTTGATAAAGATTTCTTCTATACAATGAATCATAGAATCATTTAGGTTGGAAAAGACCTCTAAGATCACTGATTCCAGCTATTATCCCTTGTCTGCCGAGTCCACCTCTAAACCACATTCCTGAGTGCCATGTCCTCCGAGTTATCCTAGCCTGGATGGTCTCTATTTCTGTGGTATAAAGGAATAGAAAAATGCCATTAAATAAACAAGAAGTCCAGGCCTTCTAGGCATTCTTAACACATTACAAGAAAGCAAATCAGTCACAAAGCTAATTGCTAAAAACCCCACAGAAAACAAATAAAACCTTTGCAGAGTACATTAAACACTGGAATACACCAAAGCGATTATTTCCCTATTAAGGACCCAGCTCTTTATTTATTCAAACACAAATATATCTTCTGGCCACAATACTGCTGAATACAACCATGGGAAGGACAAAAAATGAGGAAGAGGAAGGCTTTGTGGTTTCACACTGAGTGAAGTCCAGTTCCTGACTGTAAGATATCTCTTAGGTGAGTCCCTATCCAACAGTCACACACAGAATTTGGCTGCAGGAGAATCCACATTTTCCCTTGCTACTGTGTTCTTGACTGACATTTTTCTGTGTTCTCAGGTGCAACCTCCTCTCTCATCTCTGTTTGCAGTGTAGGAGACATGAGAAAGTGTAGGAAGTCCTTTCAGGCTGCAAGTCAGGAGATTGGGAATGTGGGGGTCTTGCTCTGAAGTTGTCTTGCTGTCGATAGATTTGCAAGGGGGACAGGCAAAGTCACTGCCTATGGAAACTCAGAGGAGGAGACTCCTCCTGCACCTCATGAGAAGAGCAGTGGAAAAACTTGCTGAGAAATATTTGCATGGTTAAAGAGAAATGGTTTGAGAAATATTTACATGGTCCTTTGAGCGTCCTTGAATTTCACAGTGGGATACAAACGCACCACACTGCGGTGTCCCTGTTGTGAGGGACTTTGAGACTTAGAGAATTTCCTCCCCCACAATTTGGATGTTCTGCACATAGCTGGTGGCTGCACGTGCCAGGCTTTCCATCAGCCCCAGAGAGATGAGATATCAGCATATGTACAGCCAGACACCCAAAAGCAGGCTGGTGCTCCGCTACCCTGCGCTCTAGTGAGCCCCATGTAAATCTAACGCCACAACAGCACAAAATCTTAAATCTTACAGCTCCAATTCTGATTATATGGCATTTTCTCTGGATTTTTACAAGTCCATGGGTAAGATAAGGATTGTGTTGCCTCTGTTATAGGGGTCACAATCTTTCAAAACGGTGTCAGGGCATTTTGTGTCACTTTTTTCTTGCATTTTTCATGGATGTGGCTTTGAGTTGGGGAGCTGAGGATGTCTCTTACCTTCCAGGGCACTGGTGATGATGCTGACAGCACTCACTGCCCTCTGCCTCTGAAAGGGCTCGTCTGAGTGGTCCACTGAGGGCCGGTGGGGCATTAAAAGCTGTTTCTTGCTTGCCTCGTCCGAGGGGGAGGTCTGTTTAAAGGAACACACTGCATCAGCACAGTAAAACCAAGGCAGATACTGGGTAGAAATTTCAGAACTGCCTAAGTATTAATTTTGTCATCTGCAGAGTATAAAGCTCACTGACTGAGTTAAAGACATGCTGGTGGGGCACAGCTTTTGAGTATGGCACTTTGAACAATTTTGGAAAATCTGTTCTACCCTTTACCTTCATGTCAACTGTGGGTGAAAATAAAGGAACTCTTATGATGCCAGAGCAATAGCAGTGCTGCTTTCCCATGCTCTTCACTTGTGAAAGAAGGCTTGCTTAATTATATTAATTAATCCATTATTTCTGAAATGTGTTAACTATTTAATTATACAGCTAGAAAAGGAAAAGGGCGTGGGTAACAGCTCCTTTACAGACCTCTGATATCATACCAAGCAAACTGACTCCCCAACACATGTTTTCCCTTGTTCTGAAACACTGCCAAATCTCAGGAACATATTGTCATTGTGCTGATCTTTGGTGTTATGGATTCTGAAGCTCCATAATTAGGGGAGAGACTTAGCTTCTTTTTCTCAGGAAAAAATAAATAACCTAACCCTTGTTCTCATGTTTCTCAAGGAAAAGCATAAAAAAATTTCCAAAGAAATCAAATACCAGAAAAACAGAACTTCCAAACTGTCTTTGTTTCATTTTAAATTAGATTTATGCTTTTTGTAGGCTTGGGTTTCTGAAGTCAGACAGAAATACAGTATAGCTGAAGGCACACACTGCATTAAACACTTTATATTGTCAGCTCAGAGGAGTAAGATGTTAAGGCTTTTATTATTACAAGCTCCCACTTCATATAAAGAACAAACCCCACTTGGTTTACTCCTCCAGATCCCACACATGTGGAAAGAAAAGTGGTTGAGGTGCAAGATTCTGGGAAAGCCAGGGTCAACATCATTCATGGACCTCCTGGTTGAGACCCTCAGTTTTCCCAAATAAATGTTTAATAGCCCCTGCCCTGGGCCTCAAGCATCCAGGCTGTGAGGTCTGAGACCCTGTGTAAAAAGAAAGGTGTAGAAAGATGGATCCTGATGGCTCATGTCTTATAGCTCAAGGAAATGGGAAATGAGAAGAAATCCCTGCAAAGATGAGAAGCTCTGGTTTATTCTGATAGCAGAGTAGCTGCTTTAGTTTCTCCACAGACAAATGAGCTACAGGAATTAGATTCAGTCTTCTGGATCTTCTCATCACTTGGGTCTGAAATGGTCCTGACCACCCTGATCAGCACCTGGGATGCCAACTGAGATGTGCCAAAAGCAGCAGCTCCACAGCTCTGCTCTCTGTGCCCAGGGACCCAGGACCCCTCCCCTTCACTATTTCTCTATTAAAAATGCTCTTCAAGAAAGGCAATTCCATGAGAAAAGCAAGAAAAAAAGGGCGCTGAAGCCCTCTGAACTGTCTTTCTGGACTGTGACGTCTTCAGGGCAGGGGATATCCCCAGCAATGGGCAAAGATATTTCGGCACTGGTTGGCAATGAAAATTTTAACCAGGATGCTGGTCCCAGGTCACTTCAAGTACTGCAGTTAAAAATACCAATCACTGCAAGACCAGAGAAGAGTAAGAACTTTGAAAGCAAGCACTTCAAACATTAGCTGGGCCAGAAAACCAGTAATGGTCCAAAATGGCCCTTGTTTTCCCCTCTAAAATGTGCTTTTAAAAAATATCTTAACTGAATCAGCTTACTGACCATTGAATTACTGGCAAAGTCATCTCAAAAGGAAAGTTCTAATCAGAAACTCTTCAAAGGGAGTTGTACTTGTGCACAACAAGAAAACATTCTCTCCTTGGCTTAGGAGACAGGGAATACCAGGAATGATGTTTTGGATGCATTAGTTTGCTTGATTTCCTTCACCTCAAAAACATCCAATAAAAACCAATGAAACAACAAATGTTTTATTAATGAAGAAAGCATCTACAAAATTGCATAATCACTCACAGCAGTTTGGAATATATAACAAATACATGGTACCAAAAAGAAATAGCTAGACAGGGTGAAGAGAAACAGGAGAGAGACAAACTTTTAAGTAGGATAAATTAAAAAAAAAAAAAAAAAAAAAAGAAAAAAAGGAAAAGCAAAGAAAAAGAGGAAAAAAAACCCCAAACCACAAGTTTGCCTCTGTAAAATGAACCATAAGAAAAACTCAAGTTTCAAATCTCTATATATTATTTCACTCTTTTTAAGCTCTAATATCTTCCCAGCCTATCTGACCTAAGGCATAGCATGTAGCAGTAATATGTCATCAGACAACCTCATTCCCAAGAGTCCTTTGTCCAAAATCCACCTTTTCCTCCCAAGTGCAAAGAGGTAGAAAGCCAAAAGAAAAATTTTCAGAGGCTCATACTTCATGTTTTTCTTTTAAATTCATTTAACTAAACCAACCCCTTGTTTCCTGCCAGTCCCTGGCACCTGGCACACAGCAGAGGTTCATTCCTAGAGCCAGGACACAGTGAGTGGCAGGCAATGCCACTGGGCAAAGATTTGCCAGCAGAGCAGTAAATCCATCACGTAGCCACTTTGACACTTACTAGGAAGAATTTTTCCGGGAAAGAAAGTTTCCATCCAGGTGAATCACTTAAAATTATTAAAGCTGCTTAAGGAAATTCATGAGCTTTTGTCCTTTGTAAAGAATAGATATGTGTGTGTGGGTTTGGGTTTATATTAGTATTTGTTTTAGAATAGAGAGAGTTGATATTCACAAAAGGAACTGGCAGCTTTTGCACTGTGAGACAGAAACAATTCTGGGAACTGGACAAGCAGGCAGCATAAAGGCTATTATCACCTCTGAGAGAGCACACACAGGCACAGTGGCTCATTGTGCTTATATTTCTATAGAAATTAAGCATAAAATAACAGCAGTCCCCACAGTTATGCAAGGAGTCTCCCTAGGATCCAGATGAGAAATCACAATGGAGTTAAGCATAGGCACCTCCAGCAGGACAAGATTATTTGTGTTGCCCCTGATTGACTGGAAATGTTCCTTCCTTTGGATTATCTGAATTCTATAGAGACAAATATACTGTTCAGTAATTTACATGTAAATGAGGATGCATAACACAGACATTTTCTTCTCATTGCCTACAGTTTTGAACTATGTCAAAACGATTATGTGAAGATGGGCTTAAACACAGCAGCATTTTTAAAGACCATTTTTGGGAACCAGGACAGGTTTAATTTTCCTTGTACACTTCAAAATTTTTCAAGCAGGAGAAGAGGTGGGCAGGCCACACCATGAGCAATGGACCCAGTAAGGCACCAACATGAATATTTAATGAAATTGGAGGTGGCCATAATAGATCACAGCATTAAAAAGGAACCAACTAATTTTCAGGATGCTTGACTATTTAAAGAGATGCACCTTAAACTAAAGCAGTTTGAAATATTTGTTCCAAATCTGAGTGATTTACTCTTAGGATGTACAAAAGCGAAGTTTGAAATGAGCAGAAACCAGAGCTATGGTGACAACTCTGTGTGACAGCATCAGAGGGTTGGGTAGCTTTTATCCACGTAACTTATTGGCAGATTTTTGGATGACTTATTCTGCTGACCTTTATTTCTGAACATGGAAACTGCTAGCACTTTCCCTTTTCACCAGTCCTGTGGCAAAGCAAGTAGTGAAAGGGAAAAATTTTACCTCAGGGTGGTTTTAGGATCAAAACAATGTGGTCAGCAAAAGCATTTTTTATGCTTAGCTGAAACAAAAAAGCAAGGCCTTTTTTTTCATTTTTCTTTTTAAAATAATATCATAAAAATTGATATCATTGAAAGATAAATTGCTAAATCTTTATTTCAGTCCCTTGATAAACAGCTTGGTCACTCTCAAGGGCTCACTCTCCAGGTGTTTTCCCTCCTGCCAATCTAGCAATGCTCAGCATTTCAAGTTGCATAGAAGAGAAAGCATAAGTGTGACCAAGAGGAAATTCAGGAAAGGTTATGTGTGCAACAGGGCGTCCCCAGGTTACTCCAGCCTCGTTGCCCATCCCAAAACCATGTCAAAGGCTGCCCTGCCCTGCTCCTGCACTGATGGAAAGCTCTGGTGAGGAGATGCCCCAGGGAGAGCAAAGCAGTGGGGATCACCAGCTAACAGCCCACTTGGAAACCACCACTCTTTCAGTCCTGCATCCATTTCACTTCCAACCTCTGGAACAATTGTAAAGTCAGGTTAAATTAAAAATCTTGTGATTTCCCTGCACTGTTACAGGAAAGGCTCCAGCTGGATTTAGGATGCAAGTCGGGATGGCGTTTTGTGTGTTCCTTAACCCTCTAGAAGTTCTTGACAGCCACAGGCGAGATCTCCCTCAGCCTCATCAGAATCCATGGATAAACTGAGCTCCAGGTAAGAGCTCATTACCTAAATCAAATTCTGCACAAGCATATCAATACCCTGTGAAGGGAGGTGTTATTCTAACCTCTTAACTAAGAAACACCAAGACACAACAGAGCAATGCAAAGCTACAAATAAATACTGCAGGAAGGTGAAGAGCCTTTAGGCTGTAGTGTGCCCTGAAGTTACTTACATAATATATAGACTTTAAATAAGACAAAAGCCAAAATATCACCCAGCAACCAGCAAGAGTGTAAAAATTTCAAAGCTCTCAGTTTCAGGTCAAGACAAAAACAATTAGGACTTCTAATATAGTCACCAGGTCCTGCTTATGTCTTATTTACACTGGGGTAAGTCTAGTGAAATCAGCAGCTGCACCACTTGAAGAAAGCTGGTGGGAGAACAGGACAGCCCTGACTGAGTCTTCTGCATCCCCAGAAGATGTCCAGGAATTGCCATAGGTTTCCTAGGACAAGCTTCCAGCACCCCTCAGATTTGACCACCTACTGCTCTCACATTCCGGGTGGTGACTACTGGACCCAGACTTGATTTTGTGAAGAGTATTTGGAGACCACACTTTCCTACTGCACGACTTTGCTCCTCCTATCCCCTCTGCAGGCTCTCTGGCTGGAGCCCTCACTGCAGTGAGCCCTCTGTGCAGCTCCCCACAATGCTGCCACCGCTCCTTGTGGGAACTCTTGTGGCACGGGGACACAAAGTGTGCAGAGGCACATGGGCTCCCTGTAGAGGGTGGGATGTCCTTGCTCAGGCTGTGGCTGAAGCCCCTGGGCATTTGAAGGCTAATTTGATGCAGATGAATTCACTGGCAGGTGCTGCTCAGCATGGACCATGCTGGCCATGGTCAGCAAAGCTGATGGCCATCAAGATTGCCCCAGCTGATGACACTGATGGGCTCTAGCACCATCCATTGAGGTAACCTAAAATCCTCCCTTTTTCCTCAGCTGTATTTAGGAATTAGGGAGAGAAGATGCGCAGGGCAAACACACTTGATTTTTCTTGGAAACCCATTCATCCATTCGTGCCAAGCAGCCAAGGCCATCTGAAGAGCATTTGAAATTGGCTTTTTTATCTTACATGTTTTTCTGCAGCAAAGTGCCAGGATGTCACTCCCCTGAGTCACCAGCCTGAAGAGTGGGATAACCTGCTGCAGCCTCTTCTCTCTTGGGAGAGGGCAGCTGAACTGCACAGATGTTTTCATGTCAGCTCAGCTGACACCTGCAGCCATTCCCATGGGCAAATGTCCCTTGGCTGGGACAGGGGGTAGCAGTTGTAATGGCACAAAGGCATGGAAGATTTCATTGTGGTCCCAACCTAACCACTTTGCCTGGGGTAAACTGTTCAGGGATATTGTTAAAGCTGGTGAGGCTAAAATGCCCAAAAGTTGATAGTGGCTCTTTCCTGGAGAAACCTGAGTAGGACCCACTTTGGAATAATTTGCAACTATGGGATAAGTCACTGTTTGTGACTGAAGGGCTAAAGGTTGAAAATGCAAAACCAGAGATGGTCAGATCTTGTTTGAGGTTTGCTCTGTCTTTTAAATCAGGAGTGCTCCTTCAAACTTTCCCCCAGTCAGAATTCAGTGATCTTCCCCCTTGGTGGCAGTCTGATGGGTCTGTGTTATGTTCATCTGATACTACTCAGCATCATGGAGTGACCTAAAAAGGTGCATCTTCAAAAATCTAATGATGTAAATTGAGTTTTTTTACAGCTCCATCTACCCAGGTGTTCCATTTGCATGAGCAAAGCCAGTTACATCTCAGGAAGCTGCAAGTCAGGGCTTCAGCCATGTTAGAGTGATGCATTTTCATGGACTGGTCCTTCATTTCTTGCTCATGAAAGATAAAACAGTTAGCCCAAATGGGTCCTTTTCCACCATGGGCTCACACTTGTTCAAAATAAATAACAGCAGCAGGGTCAGTGAGGTTAATGAGGTAACTGCAACATCTTTCTTCTTCCTTCTCCAATCATTTCAAGAGATTGTAAAAAGAAACCAGAGCTGCTAACAAAGAAAATATTCACCTACAAATTCTAACATGAAAAAGGTGAAAATCATCAAATGCAAAGCCAAGAAACATGCTGATTTATCTCCAAGCATGCTGAGGGGTCAGATTTGCTATTTCCTTCTGCCTGAGCCATAGCTGAGGCTGCACGTTTGTGCCCGGTGCTTACGACTCCTGTCGCGAATACATCTGTACAGCAATGGGCCCCTTGCCAATTAGCTTTTAACTCCAGCTCACATTTTCTGGATAGATTAGGTACCAAACCTGTTTTGCAGAAGACACAACATCCTTCACATTGCATCACTGGATGAGCATCTGTTACTATAGCGCCTGGGTGTTATTTCCTAGATGGCCAGGGAACAGCCAAGTGAGCTCACCCACCCCGGCCATTCAATTTTCAACATCCATTTTTTCAAAAGGCAGGAAGCTGACAAATGAAAATAAATGCCAGCAGAGCTCAGAGACTCCCTGTCACCTCAGGACCCAATCCTGTAAAATACTGATATTTTCTGTGAAAGGTTGAGTGCTCTTGTGCTTTGCTAAGCTTTTTCTGACAGCTGGGACAGCCTCAGCAGCCTGCAGAGCTGATTTCCTCACAGAGAGAAAACAGACATCCTCTACTCACCTACTGAGGTCCTATGACTTTGTTTCAGAATTTTTTTTTTAAACAGATGCACAAATTTTCTTCCCCAGCTCCTTTAATGCACACTTCTTTTGGTTTGTTTTTGTTTTGTTTTGTTTTTCACAAAGCTAAATCCAATAAAACTTCCCTATCTACAAACAGAATTTCTGTTGCTCAGTTGTTTAAGGAATTGTCTCAGAGCTGGTCATCCTTTTCCACAGAGAGTGAAATTAAGATTACCAAAGTCCTAAATGAAGGAAAATGTGAACATCTGAAAAAGGAGCAAGTCTCAAAACTGCCAACAAAACAGATAATTCTCACACCAACCAGTTTCCCACATGTAGCACTGCCCCTTCTCTCATGGGTGGTGTGAGAGTCTATTTGCAGAACTACAGGGAATGCCCAGATAGGTGAGGAAAAAAATTCAGTCCAAACCCTGAAAGGAATGAAGCTGCTTGGCTCTAGAGAAAAAAACTCCTTCTCTATTTACTGATAATCTGACACCACGGCTGGGATCCATCTCACTCACCTTTCCATTTAGGAGATACCTTGGCTAATACATGTTATAATCACATTTGCTTTTTTTCCCCCTCCAGTGTAACCTGGTTTTGGCACCTTGTTACTCTGAGTGGGCTTTATCTCACGTAACCTAAGACCTGTGGTTAAAGTGAACAGAAGGAGGCACTTCTAAGGAGAGAGATTATTCTGATCCATTTTTTATCCCTAAAATGAAATAAATCCTGCCCACACTGATTGTAATGGTGACCTCCATAATTTTAAAGACTGTTGAGAGTGATGATATTCAATGCAGGTTATCTACACAGAAAAAGACAAATTCCCACTATCTCAAACTAGCAACCTGTGCAGATTGTTCTGCCTGTGTAGCAGCTATTTCCAAAAACATCATCTCATGGTGTTGCTCTGCAACAAAGATGCTGGCAATCTGCAAAAGGGTTGAAATCTGTTGATCTGCTTGTATTTCCTGGGTATTATTTGAACTGGATGCTAAACTCTTCTGGGAACTACCTTTGGACTGAAGGAACAGGCCTCCTCAAGTAGCCCAAGAGAAGACCAGAGGTCAGATGCAAACAGAGACCAAACAGCAAGAGAAAACACAGATTCAAGACGGAAAGACTCACTGAATAATTTAAAAACCATCATTTTCTATCCACCAGACAATGTCAGGTATTCAAAAGTCAAAAGAAATCAAGTTTAAAAACGTCCCTTCAAGAAAAGAAAGTCTGTGTCAAGCTCAAGATTTAGGTATTTGCTTTCTGACAGCTTTGAAGAGAAAGTCTCACCAGAAGGCATGAATGTGCCTCCCTGATGAGGCACTAGGCACACATTTCTCTGTGAATTAACTCATTGTCTTCCCATCCTGCCTGGAATGGTGAGTCTGGGTCCCTCACTGTAGACTCCATATGGTGTAAATAAATTACAGCAATCTCCAACAACATTTAGAAGGAAACGAGAGCGCGAATCACATACAAAAGTTATAAAGTACTCACCAGGTCGCCTGTCCCAGGCTTTTCCATAATAACTGGGGGGAGCAGTAACCCTGCAGGAGAAGTAGGGTCTGGGTTGAGTGCCCCGGTGCCTCCTCCTATCAGGGAAACCACACCATTGCAATCCACTGAGCTGTTCCTTTTGCCCGTCTGGGTGTAGTTGGGAGTAGTAGGGTGAGAACTATGGCTCACTTGACTTTGCACGCTTGGACGCCTCCCAGATCTTGGAATTAAGAGAGAGCCCCGGTGGCTTTCATTTTCCCCAGCGATGCTGATCTCATCATCGGCAAAATCTGTCTCGGAGCAAGTGTCTCTGCCACGGAGTCGGAAACTGAAAACGCTTCCGTGGCTGGTTCTGCGCTTCACCAAGTTTGCACTGGGACCATAACTAATGCCAAGGAGAGTCTGGAAACCCCCAGAAAGGAAAAAGGGGAAAGAGAAACAACATTTTGCAACATGTTTTCAGGAGCGAGGAAGTCCTGGGGGAGAGCAGTAAGTTCCATTTTAAACCAAGCGCTTCAGAGAAAGGGAGACTTAATTACAGGTATTCAGACTCCGCAAAGTTAAGAGGTTGGACAGTCATTCCTAGCCTCTGGGTGTTTGTCTAACACTTGACAATTAAAGATGTACTGAAATAGGAAGGGTCAAGGTGGCATTCAGCTCACTTGTGATACTTCCTTTGCTTCTACTCCCCCCCATGGGACAAGTGCCAGAGGACCTGGGAAGGCAGCACAAGGAGCGGAAGACAGGAGCAGGGAAGGGGATCCAGCTCCAATCTACTGCATTATCACACATCTTCATGACAGCTAGGGAAGGAACAGTGCAGTGGGAGAAGAATAGATAAAGAAATAGGGCAGGAAATGAACTGCAGGGAAAATGAGAAGAAGAGGGAAGAAGAAGAAGAAGCAGAATACGACGGAAGAAGGTGATAAAAGAAAAAGAAAAAAACCAAAAACAAACCAAGAGCAAGAAGAGGGATATGGTTTATTAGTTTGTAAAATGATTATCTCAGTGCACATGGCTGCTTAAGGGCTAGGTAACCTCAGTACACAGCAGTCTCCCTCACTCAAATATCAGCCTTGACGATCCACTCTGACGTCAGTTAGTGAGACTGCAACTCTGCCAGAGCATCAGCAAGATGTAGCCAAGGACTAAACACACCTAAAATCCGGCAGAGTAGAAAGGATCTTCAGAAAACGTGTAAGGAATTCAAGTCTATCCTTTTCTCTTCTCTCTAAAGAGGAAATGACTGGAGTAAGAGCATTTAGGCAGAACGTATTTTTGAATTTATGCCTGTACAGAATTTCCAGCTGTTTCAGAACTTTCCCATGAGCCAAGTATCCATGAAGAGAGGTCAGATTGCCACAGCACCCACAAACCAGACAAATCAAATGGAGCCTGATTTCATTCTGTGCTGTAGCTTACACCACCGAGTTATGCAATGATGCTATTTGGTGACACTGGTACATGGAGGAGTACAAAACTCAGGCTCTTTCTGACTAAAAACAACCCATTTGGATTGCTACCAAATTTCAGCTGGTCAAAAATCCATGCCTGGGTTTCCATGGCACAGTCATTGAGACTGATTTCTGATGGCAACACACTTCCAGCTGCTCAGATAGCATCTGAATGATGACTCAGCCTTATTCCCTCCAACCATGCCAGACACAGACTTGCAGAGAAGATTTACTATCAGCTTGGAAATGTGTCTCTCATGCTTCTCATGCATATGACATCCAGGGGCAAAAAGTGAAAACAAGGAATATTAATCTGAGAAATAAACTGGAAATGCACAGCTCCCATCCACAGTGCTTCTGGCACGTGGTGTCCTGAAACCCATCCACAATGAAGCTAAAGAGCAATTCTGGGTTTAGAAAAGGTGCAATTAGTTATGCGACCCTCTCGACCAATGAGACAACAACAGAAACTGTTGGATTAAAAAATGCATGTCATCTACAGAAATCCAGCTCTGGGTAAATTTTGTGAGCTGGGGAGTCACTAATTGGTCACATTTACTTACACCACTTACATGTTTTCTATGAGCTTTTTATGGCTGCCAAGCATCCCTAAATTCACTGACAATAAAATAGAAAAGGACTTAGCCCATTACATGGCTATTCAAAACAACAAAACAAACTGATTTAAACTTTGCCCTCAGTTAAACAAAGACAAATTCTCTGGAGCTATTTATGATCCCTTGATACACACAGCATGGGCAGATTCATATTCATGCATGTCAGGAACATTTACATAAAACCTTATTTAATAACACTGTCATTCTGTTTTTCTTCCCTGCAATAGAAAGTAGAAACAAGCGCCACAAAGTTTTGACTTGGAGGCAACTAGCAAAAGAATATAAAAGTGTTAATAATGTCTTTGTATAATATTTGAAAAGCTCTCAGAGACAAGTGTCCTCCTCTTCTCCTCCTCTTTTTTATTTTTAAGCTTTGTAGGTTTCCACTAAGATTTTTTTCTTATCTCTAGTAGGGATAGGATAGATATAATCATATGAATGGATGAAAATAAACCAGACCAAGGGTAATCTTGAAGCAAGGAAAAAATAAAAAGGAAAAAAAATTGAAAAAAATAGGTTTGTAAAAATGTTTAATGGGCATTTAAAATTCACTTAAAAAATAAAGTGGTAATATGTATCCTTCCACTGTTCTAGCACAGACTGTATGCTGTATCTGCTGTGTTAGTTATAATATTTAATAACTGTTTCTTCTGAAAGTTTTGGTTTTAATTGCCTTGTTCAGGCCTGTCCAGGAAAGTACAGTGTGAAACAAGTGATATTTCAGACCATGGCTTACCATCCTCCTCTGACCATCATCGTAGTCACACTTGGGATTCCTTTGGTCTTCCCCATACTCATCTGTCCCTAAAGATTTCTTTTTCTTTCTCTTATTTCTTCTTTCTTTCGCACTTTTAGGTGACATTTCCAATGAGCTGAGTGACATTGAATCAATTCCTTTAGTGGCAAGTGCCTAAATCAGAAGATTGTAGAAAGTATAAATATTATTATTTCAGGATTTCAGTGAAAACTATTTACTGCTCAGAAATTGCTTTTCATTTTAAATTTTAAAGTTGTATAGGAGAGATATTAAAAATTTCAGGAGATAAGTAATCACAAAACTTAGGAATGGCTGCATAAAAGGATGTTTTTAATGTGGACCATTTGATACATCATGAAGGAACAGCCTGTTGTGCACATTTCTGGGATAACACTTCTGGTGCCAGGCAAAGAAAAATCTCAAGCTGGGGAACCTCAGATTAAAGTCTCCCTGGATTTCATCCCCTTGAAGGGCTGGACAGGAGGGCAGCCCATCTGGCTGCTGGGATTTTCCCTCCCCTGCCACAGAGGGATGCTAGGAACAGCAGGCAGCTCAGCTGGCACATTTCTGTAAACCCTTATCCCGAGCAGCAGCGCAGGCAGCTGCGATCAGAGATGCAAAGAAAGAACCACGGGCTTAACTGGAGATAAGGTGGCCTTTGCTGTGCTGTGCTTCCATGCTGTGCTGGCTATCTGCTGGGATCACTGCAGGAGCAGGCTGATAACACACCAGCTGCTGGGAGCCCTGCAGAAGCCCAGTTCCAAAGCCTGAGTGCTCAAAGCCACAGCTCTGGGAGCAAATGAGCAGCCAGGAGGAATGATCTGTAGGAGCTGGGAGAGCTGTGGCCCCGTTCCCAGCACAGGCAGGAGGAGTGAGGGGACTCTGGACACAAGATGGTGACCACATCGGTGGCCTGGAGACCAGCCCAATGCAGAGCCCCCAGCTGAAACATCTCGAGAGTGAGTTGTTTAAAAAATCCTCTCCTGGTTCCCCAGAACAGGAGAAACAGATGAATCCTCTGTGCTATTGTCTGTAAGCCACTAGAATCAAACAGGCAATCATCTCTCCACTGCAAAATACTCCCTTCCTCCCACAGGCATCAGTCCAAGGAAAGTGAAGGCACTTAACAGCCGTGTAAAGAATCAATCATGTATTTCAAGGAGTAGCGGTAGCTCTATTACGCTGAGAGCACAACAAAACTTAATTCCTATGGGAAATATCTTTCATAAGCAAGCTGCTTACTTAGAGCAGGGAGGAAGAGCGCTCAGACACTGGTCTAGGTTGTTTTGGTTGGTTTGGTTTGGGTTTTTTGAGTCAATTGATTTAATTGCTATGCTGAAATGCTTTCTCTTCATAAAGATTCGGCAAGTCTTTTGGAGTTAAGCTCAGATTTAGGAATGTGTTAGACCAATTATATAAATTGACTGATAGTCCCCAAGCAGGCCTATCAATTATATTTCTGCTCCCTTTATACTGCACATTATAAAAGCTGGCCTGAACTGTTTTGGTTTTCCTTTTTGATTGTTGTCATATTTTGTTGATTTAGAAAATATTGTAGGTTGCTATAAAGCAGGCTGTACTCATACTGCAAAATAAGTTAATTTTTTGTCTCTTAGCATTTTCTTACCTATTGCTTGAGTTGTTTCTGTGCTCAATACCTCTCTCAGATATTGAAAAAGGATTTGGACTGAATTGTTCCTCAAGGCAAGGAGGGCCACAGAATCACAGTACATCTTGTGTTGGAAGGGAGCTTAGAGTTCATCCAACTCCCTTGTCAGTCTACTCAGTGTTCCATCCAGCCTGAGCTCAAGGATGTCCCCATGTCCTGCCTGTCTGCCCTTTCTGTTTGGGTTCCTGTGGCTGGAACATGTCCTGTTCCTCAGGCACTGTGGGCCATAACCCACTGCAACAACTCCAGGGGCAGGAGTGTGGGACCAGGCATATCTGGCAAGGGCATGTGGTGGCTGAAGGATGGGAGGAAAACAGTTCACACGAGCCCTGATGTGAGGATTACACAAAAGAGAGCTCTTGAGGCAAGAACTTAGTGGTACAGTGAGAAAGCCAAAACCAAGATCTTGATCAAGGTTTGGAGAACCAGATTAAAACTGAGTAGCTCTGACTGGGGAGAGATATCTCAGCAGGACATTTGAAAGCTCCATGGTGCAGCCACACAATTCCCTTTCCTGAGCCTCCTCTTCCAAATGCCTGCTTTGAGGTGCCAGGAGTTGATTTGCAGAATTACTGAACTTCATTAGTGAACACCATGCACCCAAATCATTCCACTCCTGAATTTTCTTCCCTTAAAACTAGGTTAATACTCCAAGAGTATTGCAAATGTGAAGGAGCATTTTTGAAGCACATGGAGTCTGAGCAGTGGCAAGAGGCACTGAAAAACCTTGGAGGATATTAGTCACTTCCTCTTCCAAGCAGGCTCTGACTGCCTGAGCTGGGAAGTCTGCTCAAGCTGACCTAAGGCAACAGAACGAATGATGAGAAAGCAAAGAGCTGCTCTCGAGTCATGTACTGTCCACCCTTTGCACTGAACAGGGCACAGGGAAGATAAGAAATGGCTGGAGAAAAGACTATTATAAAGCATATAAACAAATGGGAAAAAATTCAGATTTTCAGGGGAAACTTTATTTTTTGACACATTATGCTTTCCAGGCTTAATGTTCCTTTTGTTGTGTACACCGGGCTTAATTGAAATCAAAGCCTTTAAAATGGAATTCTTAAATATCTTTAATTATAGTTGGGGCTACTGAAGTTATTAGGAAGAGCTCAGCTGGAGTCAATACATATGAAAATTTGTATAAAATAGGTATGAGTTAGAGCTCAGTTTGTTCCCTTAGGTTACGGCAGAGTTACTCTGTTCAAAGTGGCTGTATATGGACTAAATTGCATTTACCTATTACTTAAACTATCAAAGAGGATCTTTAAAAGGACTTAAATGATTCATAAGCCACTACTAGCACTTTGTCAAGAGTGAATTGCATTTTCTATTTTCTTTCCAAGGATTTAAATGGGCTTTGGATTAGGCCCTGAAGCCATATGTACCCAAAAGAAAATTATGTATATTAGTTTATATTGTGTTTCAAGGATTTATTTCTCTGAACTACAGTGCTACATGTTATTTCAGACTAATTTTCTTACAGTCTTCTTGTTCACAGCACCTAAAATGTTCTCTTCTGCTGTTTAATAAAAGCTTTCTACCCCACACAAACCACAAGCAAATTAAATACTGTTATTAAGGCTATAAGGCTACATCCACCATTTGGCTTCCCTGTTTTTTTAAAATTTATGACATAACATTAAATCCATACTCTTTGCATAATTTTCAGGTCTTAGCACCAAGGTCTGTCTGTTTACTTTTCCAGGAATAAAGCCATATGTGCTTCAAAGAGGTTAATCTATACCTTTATCAAACAATTGGATATTTACGGCAGGTTGAGCAAGACAGTGAGGAAATTAATGTGTGCTAAAAGGGTAGTGGAAGGAAGTTCAGCTGGGGCTCTGGCTGAGATACCAAAACAGCTGGGCTGTGCTCAAATGCAGAGGTAGTTTGCTGACATTAAAACATCTCACATGCCAAACTATATTAATTTTCTCTGCTGGCATACGTGGCATGGTTAAACCAGTACAGTTCTGCATAAGTAAAGTCCAAATGGCCCCACTTCTAACAGGGAGAACTATAACTTTTCTTTCATAAAAAAAAAACCAAACAAAACAAGAAAAATTGCAGTAACTTTGTCCAGTACAATAAACATTGAACTGCCTTCAAGCAGACTCTTACTTTGGTTATCACACAAATGTAAAATAAAGAGGACGTGAATCCCAAGGTAACATTTGCTCAAGTCACCCAAGGCTAATCATGTCACATAGTTCACTGACCTCCTGCTCTTTCTTCAACATCTCCATGGCTTCCCGAAACTTCCTTTCTTTCTCCTCTGTTTCAGCAATAGTGGCTTGGTTCTGCTCCTCATATGCCATAGCCACAACAGCCAGAATCAGATTGACCAGGTAAAACGAGCCCAGAAAGATGACCAGCATGAAAAAAAGCATGTAGATCTTCCCAGCAGATCTGAGAGTCTGTAAGTGCAAAAGTAAAATGGACACTGCTTTACAATGTTTTTAAAAAAGAAAAAAAAAAAAAAAGAAAGAAAATGAGGAGTTCCTTTTAAAATTAGATTTGTAATATAATTGAATCCAGCCTTTGTTAATAGTTCAAACAGAAAGCCTTTGATGAGAAATGACAACCACATACAAGGAAATAATCTCCTCACCGATACATTTTCATACCTTAATCAAAAGTTGTGTGCCTTGCAGTGAATTAATTTCTAAAATAATAATGCTTTCAATGTTTTCCTCTTTTACCAAATCTCTGCTGGTTTTCCTTTAGAAAAGATGCTAAGAGTCAATTGCAGCAAAAACTTCCCCCACAGTTCAGTCTGGTTTTGTCTAGTGCGTAGAAACTATCCAGGTGGGATTCATGTTGGATCCCTTCAGATATCTACAATCCACGTCCTTTTTCAGGGAGAAAAATGCATGTTTAAGGTGCAACTCAACCAAATATCATTGAGACATCTGTGTCAGGAGGAGAAGAACCAAAGCTTGGGCTCTTTTGGATGTATCCCCTGGTTCTTCACTAGATTTATTGGCATAACTGGAATTTAGGGGGACAGCTTATGTGTAACAGATATGTCCCATGCTTAGTGAGTTGATATTGTACTGACAGAAAACACTGTGTGATAGTATAAGGTCAAATAATAAAATGGAGTGATGTTCATCCTTATTTGCTGTGACAGTTTCTGTCTTCCAGAGTTGTACACGTAGCTCTATGTCAAGCAAGTGAATTCAGCTGTTTAAAGAATCTTCAGTCTCATTGTTTTACATTTTCCTGAAGTGAAATTGTGTAACTGGCTGTATATGAAGCTGAAATTCCCCAAATCTTCAGCGATGATAGTACCTCAGTATCTTCAGAGCAGTTCTGTCAGCATTATCCACTGATTTCCATGTGATCACGTTCCAGTTTTGGCAGGTTTGAGATGCAGCAGCAAATCATCAGTGGCTTCATGGACAGAGAATGTAATTCAGTACAAAACTTGCAGATGTAGTTCTTTGGGGTTTGCACACATTTCAGGAAATGCATGCTGAGCATTTACTCAGAGACCACATTGCATGTGACTGAGTTGAGTCTGGCTCTCTTTGTGCCTCTGTCTGTCAGGTGTCTGTGACAAAGAGCTGGCAGCAGTGGGAACTGAAATGCATCACGTGGTCTTGCAATTTTCTGAATTTGTGTTCATCACCATGCCTTGCAAAAACAGATATGTCAGGAACAAAGGTGCATCTCTGGCCTTTTCTTGAGCTGGACTCAAAAGTTTAACTTGTGTTACAACATCCACCAAAAAAATCACCAAGTGGTGATGTGGTGAGCTTCCTCAAGTGGTGAACTTCATTTAGACTCAGGTGAATTAGTGTCTTTCTCTCAGTACCACTTGTTCTCAATTTCCCCAAACACCCAGCCTAATGTCTTCTGACATCATCACTCTAAAGAAAATAAATTTATTATTAGAACTGATTGTCCTTCTCCAGAACATCTGATTATCCTTCTCTAGAACACACACAAAGCACAGTTCACCAAAAAACCAGAAATTCCTTCTTGTCTTTAACTGTTGTATATGCCACTGTTAGAAGATATCTTTATTTCTATTTTTTAACAGCAATAAAATAATCTCATACCTGTTGGTAAAGACGTTCCCAGTAATCTTGAGTCATCAGACGAAACAAGGAGAGAAAAGCCCAGCCAAAAGTATCAAAGCTTGTGTAACCATGGTCAGGGTTTTCCCCAGCCTTCAGACATATATATCCCTCAGGGCATGTGCTGCAAAACACCAAATACAATCTGTGAGATGCACCTTAGATGGCTCCAACATGGAGAAACTGATTTCCAGGGAAACACATACAATGCTCTTGGTTAAGAGCACAGGTGATCCACAGTAAATTCCTTCACTGTGTAAAACTACAGGAAACAAGTGATGCTATAATATCAAAGGTCTTTGCAATCTTGTTTTTTCTTTGAAAAGATAAACAGGGAAATAATAACCATAGCATGAGCTGCAATGGCAAATTATCATCTAGCATTTCACATATTTTGAATAGACTTTCGAATAGACTGGAATTAGGTGCTTAATTATAATTTCTCTTGGCACTTATTCCTAATTAAGAATCAAAAACTTGGCGTCTTCTGTTACAGCTGCAGGTAATGCTGTGATGGTGAACGTGCTCTTTTAGTTACACAGTCTGAACACTGGCTGGACACCACCAGCCTGTGCTACCACAGCACCTTCCTGATTGCTTCCTTTGCCTGACATCACTCACCCCCAGGATTAAATCTTTAATCTAAGAAACCCAGCCCTTTGTTCCACTCTCTGCCACAGTCTGGGGTCATGACATTTTTTCTATTTCTGCCAGGAAAAAGCTTTCCTTGTGTGTCTTGTAGATTAGTGTATTAAATGGCATGCAGATAGCATGAATTTCACTGGCTCTCATTAACCTTTGAGGCGCTTTACAAGTAATTTTCTAGCCCCATATGCCAGAAGAGATAAAAAACTCTCTCAGTGGTACTGTGTAAGCACTGAACTGCATCATCAAGTGAAATACAAGGTAGAAGAGATCCCAGGTCGAGGTGCCATCCTCTCAGAACAGATTAGTCAAAAACCTCCACGGCTCTTGAACATCAGAAGCCACTCTCCAAAAAGAAGGAAAGACCCATTAGAAACTGAAGATGTAGAAATATGCAAAGGCTTTCTTCTGCATGTATCCTGGGAGAAGAATATGAGTTCAAGTGCCCTGGAGCTTTATGGTATTTGGGAATTTTTTAGGTGAGAACCATGTCATATCTGGGGAAGCAGGTCCCACCAGAATGTGCAGTTACAGCAGCTCTCCCTGTTCTTCAGATAGATGAACCTGGTGCAATTCCCTGCAAATTCCAGCTGCCACAAGCAGGCATGGCTGGAACATGCAGGATTTTGGGCATGTCACCAGTCATGTAGATTGTATAGCTTTAAGATTCATTTTTTCCCAGAAAAAAATCCTAGAGTTTCTCAAACACTGCTATTTTTTATTTTTTTTTTTACCAAAGCAGAATATTGCCAGAAATTGAAATACGAAACAGAAATAGAAATAAAGCAAACAAATTTTTAAAATGTCAGGCAAAATAAAATTTGACCCCTGAGAAAGCAGTGTGTTTTCAGTGTGAAAACCGGTGCTCTTTTTCTCTAAAAACTATAATTTTTATACAAATGTAAAATAAATTTACAGCACAGGATAGCAACCTGTATTGCATGTCAAAATGAGAGTATGCTTTTATACAAATCTATGGTGTCTGCCACCACCATTAGACATTCAACAGCACTTTTAAAATCTTAATTTAATATCAGCAGTGAATCACAAAGTTTAAAGTAAGTCTGTTTTGAACGCTGATAAAAGGAGTGATGAAGCATTGCAAAATGTGTGCAGGTCCTTGTTTACAGTAGTTTTCAGAAAAAGCAATAAAAAATGAGCAGCTGATGTTTAGTGAATTAAATGTTACACACAAGTGGGGGTATAATAAATTATTCTGTCACCTTAGGTAGAGCCAAGTTAGCTTATATCAGTTGAGAATTCAGATAATAACAATTATGTCTCACAAAGAAAGAAAAAGAATCACTCCCAATTTTTACCCTGTCGGTCCAGAAACGCCTCTTTCTAGATCTTTCCTACTTTGACTACCTATTTTTTCCCTAATTAGAGCCACATTTCAATAAAAAATACAGTAACATTACTGAGTTAGAAGATAACAAAATGCAGAAATCTCGTGTTATTTTTCCCCTAAAATATGCAGCTGCACATTGAGTGTCTCTTGTATACCCATGTCCTTTGTGAGGCAGACTTTTTCACTAAATCTCCTCTCTCCCAAAGGCAGCATCTGCTGTCACTATGCTGTAGAGACGTGAGATTTCTGCCTCTGATCTGCTGCTACAAAGAGCCTTCATCGCCCGTGATGTGCCACTCAGCTGTTCAGGAGCTCTGAGAAATGGATTCTCCAGGCTCCTGAGAAGGAAATTCCCTTTTCTGGCTCTAAGACATCGTGTCTACACGGGACATGAACATTTCTGTAAGGCTGATTATTCTGCCATGAGGAAATGGCTGCACTCACACATTGGGCTTGGTTGGAAACTTTGTGATCATACCCAGAGGTGCAGAGTCCTTTCCTTAATCTCTCACTAAAGAGAAATCCTGAGTGGCTCTATTGCTCTGGTCTCATTTTTATTTATTTTATTTATTTATTTATTATTATTTTAACATTATTACAAATGGCTAGAACAACCCAATGTAGCTGAGAGAAATTTTGCTGCTGGTTACTTTAATGGTGGACTTCAGCCTAGGCAGGGCAGTAATTTGGAAATTGGGCTGCTTCTAGAATAAGTTGCCTAAAATCTTAGGCAACATGGAAATTTTGCCATTAATATAAATTATTGAGAAGGGTGAGATTTTCCTCTGAGTCTCAATTAGTAAAGAGAATTTCCTCAATCTCTTCACCCTTTTGAACAAGAGCCTGGGAGAAAGGGGTATTAGGAGCCTTGGGTTGAATTTTCATTGGAATTTCTGGGCACGTATTAGAGGATATAAAGTCACTCAGGTTCACTGCCAGTGTTGCTTTCTAGGAAAACTTTTGATGAAGAAGAATTTTTGAGTAAGTGCTCAAAGCACTTTGCTTGGAAATCTGTAGGACATGGAGATGCAACCCCTATGACTGCCAAAGTGAGCAGTGGTACCTCAGAGGAATATTTCCTGTTTGTAATACAGATAGTATTATACACATCTAATGTAATTTTTTTCATGTTTCATTCTGTCTTTATGGGTCATTTCCCATTATCTGGCTCCACAGTGAATGGTTTAACCCCAGCTGGCAGCCAAACCCCACAGAGCTGCTCACTCACCCCAGCCCCAGTGGGATGTGGAACAGAATTGGATGAGTGAAAAATCTCATGTGCTGAGAAAAAGACAGTTTAATAGGGCAGAAAATGAAGAAAATAATAATAATTTGAATAATTACAATAATAAAAGTATTAAACTACACAAGCTCAGTGCAATTGCTCACCCCTTGCTGACCACTGCCTGGCCAGTTCCCAAGCGATGTCCCCCAGATAGCTTTCCTCCAGAATTTTTATACATACATATATATATATATATGTGTGTATATATATATATATATATATATAAATATAGTGTGTGTGTGTGTGTGTGTGTATGTAAACCTGTCCTGGCTGTGTCTCCTCCCAGCTCCTTGTGCCCTCCCAGCCTCCTCACTGGCAGAGCATGAGAAGCTGAGAAGTCTTTCACTTAGTGGAAGCACTTCTTAGCAACAACTGAAAACATCAGTGTGTTACCAACATCATTCTGATCCTAAATCCAAAACACAGCACTGTAGCAGCTATGAGGAAAAAATTAACTCCATCTCAGCTGAAACCCAGAAAATGAACTTCCCCAGTATTTTTTCAGCTTTAAGAGCATTCAAACTAGGTGCTGCATCATGAAAAGCATGAACCCCAGACCAAAAATGTTGTTAATGTTAGCTTACACCCTTCTTACAGTAACCAGACCCTTGAGACAGAATTTCCTACTTGTCAACTCCTTATTCCTGCTCACCCTCTTCCGTGGCCAGCAGAGAGATAACCCACAGGGTATGGGAACGTGTTAAAAACACTGAGAGGAAAACAAAATGCTGCTTCCCAGAAAAACTCTAGAGAAATTTAGGTGTAAGGCTCTCACATGAGAATATTATTCTGCAACTGACACCATTTCCTCTGAGGACTTTTTTAAGGAGCCTCAAGATTTTACTGAACCATCCTCCATGTATGACATTAAGCGTACCCCCTTTGGATTTTTTAGCAAGCTCTTCAGCTTCTTTTACCTCAAGGAAGCATTTCAGAGAATTGTACTCTCCTCTGATGCACAGGGATGGGCAACAACAACAAGCTACATAAATATACCATCCTCCACAGGAGTGTCACAGGATGCTGTTCAATTGATCACAATAAAATTAGTGTCATTGATTCAGAAAAGTTAAAAGCAGCAGGCTACCTACCTATCCATCAGGCTGTAATCACCACTGCAAGCTGGCATTGGTACAGGAAATTAAAGGACATAAGAAACAGCTTTGGTTTAAATAACACAGGCTGGGAATGCCAGAGAGCTGTAGCTGAGGGGCATAATTACAAAATGCTCTGTCTCAAGAATTTAATCTAGGCAAGCCAAGCAACCTGCTGATCCAGGCTACAGGGGCCAATAGGGTTGGACAATAAAAGGAGATTTGTAAAACATCCATGCGCTGGATTGTAACATCCAGATCCTGAAAATGCAGGGAGGGTTGTCCATGTGCTACCAGGAGTCAACATCAATGACATCTGTGAGGTGAAGGCTGCACTTTCCTTGGGTTTAGGTTACAGAGGGACATTCTGGCTCCCTCACCATGGGAGCAATGGAGCACATACCATAGACACAGCAAAAATTAAAAAAAACAAACCTCTATTTTGGTAGGAGTCCCTTAGTGTGCCTGCCTAGGTCATACCTTAAGCCTAAGAATGCAGAAATCAAACTGAAAAGTTTATAGCTGGTGTCTTTGACACAAGGCTAATTCCTGGGGAATGGAAATCACCCTAGTGGGTCGAGAATGGAACCCCCAAGGTGGGGTTTGAAAGGCTGGCAGCCTTTGGAGGACAGACAGTGCCCATGGCCTCCATGGCTGGTTGATGCGCACAGTAGAGTCTTCCTCAACCTGCCTCATCCTGCTAAAGTCCACACACCACAAATGAGAGGCTTAGATTTCCTTTAGACCAC